AAAAATCAAACAGAAATGAGAGTAGAGAGCGTGCAATCTTCTATCAGTTTACGTCACCTACAAACAGCATAAAGCAATCATGTCCGCCGAGGTCTGGAGCTCAGCAAGCAGCAGAGCTGGGTCGTCAGATGCTATCACTTGACTACGACATAATATAAATAAAAAGATCAAGATTAGCTCCTAATTCTTATTGTGAAAACTCGTGTGAAGAGCCTTAGTTTACCGAGAAATGCACGCCACCAGGGCGTTGCACTCTCAAACCCTAAGCCCCTAAACCCTAAACCCAAAGCCCTAAACCCTAAGCTCTTGGTTTCTCTGCACTTGCAAAATTGCACTCTCCGAGCCTTCAGCCAGCTTGCTCCCATCTCCGGAGCGAGGCTTCTGACGGTGTTCCTGTAGGTGTTTGACAGCCACTCCACCTCCTGCATGAGGATTTTAGGGCTTTGGGGGTAGGGCTTGAAGTTTAGGGCTCACTCTCACAGGCTTTGGGGTTTAGGGCTTCTTCTGATAAACTGCTCAAAACCCGATATCCAACAGCAAGCACATGCGGAAAGCTTAGTCACCATCATGGTCAGGACGGTGTCCCAGGCTTTGTAAGCTTGGAGCTGTCACTGCCACGATTCTACTTCCGAACATCAGAGACGCTGTTTGCACGCTCTACGCATCCGCAAGGACCTGCAATTTCAAGGTTCCTTCAAGTCACACACCGTTACGGTTGAGGCTGCGCTCCACGGCCGAAGCACTCAAGACTTGGGCATGCATGTGCGACTAACAGGGCGAGAGTCCTGAAACCTAGACATCCCTAAACCTTGTTGGTGTTACTTCAGAGAAACCCTGGACCTCCCAGCCGAATTTTAAACGAGTGTAAGATTTCGGAACGTGTACTTGAGACGAAGGCTCGGCAGGATCATTGGTGTGGTCGATTTAGCCAACCTCTCAGACAAGCGTCCTTGCAGAACCGCACTTGGATACAAACGTCCGACATGCGAGACCCAAACTGCATGTATAGCACTCGAGGACATGATTCACTTGATTCAAGCCCATGAGCCCGAATTCAGCTATTGCGCGCGCCGCCCTGTAAACCATTCTAACGAAGCCTTCCTATAAGTCCACGTTCAGAGACTCCCATGAGGCCTTCGGAAAGCCCTGGAAAAGCCCTTCCAAAGCCCATCGGTCCTGCTGGCTCTCGCCGCTGTCCAGAAACTGCTGGATGCGCTCCCGGCACCTGATAGTCTGATAGTCTGATAGTCCCTATGCACCTGTAGGGTAATTTGAACAAAACCTCTATAAACCCTTACAAAGCCCGCATAGGACCGCAACAAGCCCCGCCCAAGCCCTTCTGCATGATAAGAACCCCTTTCGAGTTCTTGACGCGCCGACATTGTAGCGAGCCACCAGGCCACCACTTCCGGATCGTCCGACGGATCGACGAACTGCCTCCAGCTTTGAGTTGAAAGGTTCCTTTAAGAATTCCCGAACGGTTCCTGTAAGGGTTCCTATAAGATCTTTCACGAGGGTTCCTAGAGGGTTTGGGATTTCGGGTCCCGAAGACTCTAGCAGACTCTAGCAGGTTCGCCTGTAAGGACTGTAAGGGCTTTCTTTGGGGTTTCTGATCCAAGGGTCGGGGTTTCGTCTCTCACTCTCGCACAAGGGAGGCGAGGCTCCACTTGAAGGGTTTCGGGTTCAGGTTTTTTTTTTGACACGGGTTCAGGTTTAGGGTTTAGAGTTTAGGGCTTCAGCACAGTCAGAGGGTACTGGACTCTCTCTCTCTCTCTCTCTCTGCGCACACTGCCTGTCTAAGGCTGAGCGTTGCCCAGCATGCGTGAGAATACTGACTCCTATCTATACAACGGAAAATAATGTCAAACACTAGGGTTCCAGGTCTATGCCCATATCGGCTTTCGAACTGAAAGGTGATGCCAGCGCCGAACTGCAACCGCTTCGAAGTATGTGATGATCTATTCGATGACGTTGACGGGTTCAGGGCTGCTTTCCGGTACTACTTGCGTAGGACTTCGGCGACTTGGTCTGTTGCGTTTTCAGAAGCTCATTCCATTTACTCAAGTTGCCCGTGGCTGCCTATCTTGCTTGTTCATTTGCAATCAACCATGTACTTGCTGTAGCGTGGTTGGTGGTATGCAACAATACCACATTGCAGGAAGCATTCTAAACGACTTGCGATGTGATTTCCACCACCGAATACTTACCGGCTTCGAGTTGATGCTTGTTTCTCCGTCCTTTCCACCTGAACCCTAACCCTAAACCCACAAACCTTCAGCCCGAAAAATGCACACACAAAAAGCAAGATGCTGCCTCCAAAAGGGCTTGTTGCCGCCGCCTTTGCCGCCACCTTTCCCACGCCCTCTGGATGAGCTCGAGAAGGCATTGGACTGCCACGACCCTCGGTCCCATCCTCCTGGCGTTGCTCTTCGGTTTTGGGTCTTTAGGTTACGCAAAACTCGGGGGCGGCCTTCGAAAAGAGGGCCTTTACAGCAAAAGGGTGCAAAATGGTGCACCGCCGCCTCCTCCCCAGCCGCTCTGCCAGCTGCTCCAGCCACCCCAGGCCATGCCCGCAAATGGCCCAAGCAGGGGCGAACCGGTTCGGGCCCAGGCCTTCTGAGGCGCCCTGGAGCTTTGTAGCCGAGGCTCCCAGCAGGAAAGTGGCCCAAGTCGCATGCGAACTCGGACCACGGGAGGGCTTGGCTGTTGCATACGGCTGCAAATACCTCGAGTGGTGTGACCTTGCTTCGGTGACCCTTTCTTTCTGTCTCTCTTTTCTGTGGCCGGAGGCATGTCATGGCTGATTCAGCCCAGACTTCGTCATAAGTCTCCTGATCCCTTTTGCAACTGGCTTGCAACGTCACGCCAGGAGACCTAAACCCTAAACCCCTAAACCCCTAAACCCTTAAACCCCTAAACCCCTAAACCCCTAAACCCTAAACCCTGATCCTTTTCAGTAGGGCCTCCGCAACCATGGGCCGATCCGTAATGCAAGCTAGCAGCTGAGTTTTCAGAAACCTGTCCCCCTTACAGGGTACTATAGGGGTCTATAATGAGGTGTTTAGGGTTTAGGGTTTACGGTTTAAGGTAGTATAGGGGCCTACAATAAGGTGTTTAGGGTTTAGGGTTTAGGGTACTATAGGAGTCTATTTTTTGGTCTCCATACGGGTGAGAATTTCAGAAAATGGGGGGGGGGGGGACCGCATAAGCCCCCAATCCGGGCTGGAGCATAGCTGTGCCTTGCCGACTGTCATGGCCTTTTGCATGACAGTCCTGAAATCCCAAAACCCCTGAACCCCTCAACCCACAAATCCCAAAGACCTCCCTACATTCCCAAAACCGTGCTGCATGAACTCTTCTCTCGAGCTTTTGCCGCCCTGGCTCCACGCCTGAATTCCGGAATCCCAAAAGCCCAAATAAAAACCCTCAACTCTAAGGCTTCTGATCCCCAAACCCTCAACCCTCAACCCTAAACCCTCAAATTTGTCTGAGGCTCTGGCTCCTGTGGGGGTTTCCCGTGAGGCCACGAGGACCCGGCTGCAGCGGGTGGCGCCTTGGGAACTCAGGGAAGCTTCCCAGAGAGCCCAAGATCCCTTAATTCAGGAATATAGCTTAAATCATATTATGAAGTCCCTTAGAATTTAATGTATATTCCTTAATTAAGGGGTATGGGGCTCTCTGGGTTCGTAGGCTGCTGTAGGGGCCTTCTTTGTTCAAGGTCTCCCGTTTCGGCAGATGCCCCGTGATGCAGCTAAGGCGGGAGCGAGCATCGGTGCGGGAGTGTGAAAGCTGAGCTTCACAGGCCTCGGCTAGCAGTGAGCTAGCAGCGGCTCGTCGCAGCCTCTTACTCATAGGAAAACCCTAGATCTGGGATGGCGCTACCCTGAACCTGGCTTGGCATCTCTTGGACAACACCAACTCGACCCGAAACAGGATGGAGTTCAGAGTTTAGGGTTCAGGGTGGTTCAGAGCAGGGACGGTAATATACATCAGGGTACATGAAAATATATTGCACAATAATATTATATAATAATTAAATAATAGGGTTTATTCCCGAGCAAACGTTTCGCAA